CATTGCATTGTATAAAGCATTGATTGTAGTTGATTCAACTATAATCATGGACAAAGGAAGATAACTCCAATTTTAAAAATTACTTGATATTTTGAAGAAAATAAAAATTTTGCGGTCGTATATTGGTATGACGTTGGCGTCGTCGTAGTCTTCGTCCGAAGACACATTGGTTTTCGCACAATTACTTTAGTTTAAGTGAATGGATCTCTATGAAATTTTACCATAAGGTTTAATACTACAAACGGAAGGTTGGTATTGATTTTGGGGGTTATGGTCCTAACAGTTTAGGAATTAGGGGCCAAAAAGGCATTTTTCTAGTTTCCAGACAATAACTTGTGTTTAAGTGTATGGATCTCTCTGAAATTAGACCATAAGTTTCCATACCACAAAGGGATGGTTAGGATTGGCTTTGGGGGGTTATGACTCAAACCGTTTATGAATTAGGGGCAAAAAAGGGGGAAAAACAAGGGTTTCCTGGTTAATTGACAATTTAAAAGCAGTGTAAAAATCAGATTTCACAAATTAAACAAAATCTCTTATATTTTTATTTTGCAAAAAAGGGGGGGGGGGGGGGGGGGGGGGGGTGGTTCAATAAGCAACAGCATAGTGTATTGCACAAAAGCAAAAAAAAAATGGGATAATTTTTATTTAATTTTTTTGGGGGGAGGGGGGGGGGGGGGGGGGGGTCTATTTGCACAGGCACAGTGTTTTGCACAAAAGCAAAAAATTGAATATAAATTCAAATCATATAACCAATTCTAAGTTCTTTGACTACAGTTATTCTGTGTCAGAAACCTATTATGTGTCAAATATTTAATTACAATCCAAATTCAGACCTGTATCAAGCGCGAATATTGTGTCCATTTTTGCCCCAACTGTTCAGGGTTGGACCTTTGTGGTCGTATCCAGCTGCGCCCAGCAAAGCAATTTATTCCATTTATAAAGGAGCATAACTCTAGAGCCGTCAAAGTGACGCCACCAAAATTCAAACTTGATCTGTGTTTTGTGGTAATAAGCATTGTGTATAACTTAAGTTTCATAACATTTGGTTGAGGCAAACTTAAGTTAGAGAACGGAAACTCAAATTTTTTGGACGTACATACAGACGGACAAGGGTAAAACTTAATGCCCCCACTGCTACGGCGGGGGCATAATAAATTTTCAATTTCCCCACTTTCCCTAATAGAATTTAATTTTATGGAAGGAAAATATTGTACAAATTGCTTGGTGCATTAACATTCATAATTGAATTTGTTGTAATTATGATATAATACTGCATTTCAATAACTCAACATTAACAGAAAGATGTCATACTCTATTTTAGTAATTGAAATGTTAGATATTAAAAGTGAGAACATGGTCCCATGGTGCAAAAGTTAATGCATCTTTAATTGGTAATTGGTAGTTGTAATTCTAGGTTAATTTATGTACTAACTTCAAGAGATTCATTTTCACGGGTTTGTATTTTGTGTAAAAAGGAAAATAATTTGTTATTGCAGTTTGTGAAAATCAATGACACATCTTTTTTATTCTATGTTCATGATGTTACATGTATTTAACTAGTACTACTACATAATAAAAGGATGTGGTTTTATCATATCGCCTGCGACAAAAGTCTTAGTATGCAAGACATAGGGTTTACCATCCACTGTTGGCAGCATAATCTATTTGTATAAAGCTTTATATTTCAGAAGGTTGAAGGCCTGAATGCTTCATACCTTGTATGCAGATACCTTATGTTACAAAGTTTCTGTCCATTGTCCTTAACTTCATTTTCATGGTTCAGCAACTGCTTGAAAAAAATTTTGAAATTTTTTAGTCAAGTGAATATCTAACATATTATGATCATGAGTCATGAATAGGATAACAGTATTTGGTATATGGGTTCCTTGCAAAGTCTTCATTTGCGTCAGACAGGGTTCACTTGACCTTAACTTCATTTCATGGATTATGTAGTGTATGGAATGATTGTAAGGGGTACATGTCAGTCTGGCAGGTTTAATCTGACTTTGACCTAATTTTCATGGTTCATTGGTCAATGTTAAGTTTGTAGTTTTGGTCTGTTTTCAACTACTATAAGGAATAAGTCAAGTATATTTGGTTTATGGAATGATTTTAAGGTGTACATGTCTGTCTTAAAATGTAGGGTTCATCTGAATTTGATTAGTTGGAAAATTGCATAGTTATCGCTCTCATGTGTACAATTCTTGCCAGTCTTTATGAAACTTATATCATATGTTTATATCAGCAATGTCTCGGACGAGTTCAGAAATCAGTGCCGATAAATAATTTTTTAAAGAGTTATGCCCCCTTGGAAACATTAATTGTATGGAAAATTGCATTGTTAGCGCTCTCATGTGTACAATTCTTGCCAGATTTTTATGAAACTTATATTGTAGGTTTATATCAGCGATGTCTCCAACGAGTTCAAAAATCAGTGCCGATCAATAATTTTTAAAGAGTTATGCCCATTGGAAACATTAATTGTATGGAAAATTGCATTGTTAGCACTCTCATGTGTACAATTTTTGCCAGATTTTTATGAAACTTCATTATATTGTTGGTTTATATCAATGTCTTGGATGAGTTAAAAAGTCAGTGCAGATCAATAATTTTTAAAAGAGTTATGGCCCATAGAAATATTAATAATATGAAAAATTGCATTGTTAACTTAGTGCTCTCATTTGTACAATTCTTGCCAGATTTTTATGAAACTTATATTGTAGGTTTATATCAGCGATGACTCAGACGAGTTTGAAAATCAGTGCCGATCAATTATTTTTGAAAGACTTACGCCCCTAAGAAATATTACTTATATGGAAATTTGCATTGTTAGCTCTCTCGCATGTACAATTTTTGCCAGATTTTTTTATCAAATTCATATGAAAGGTTAATATCAGCAATGTCACAGACAATTTCAAAAATAATTGACAATCAAATATTTTTAATGAGTTATGACCCTTGGAAATTCTAAATATATCAAAAATTGCTCTTAAGTCTTCAACTTTTAAGATAATTTTAAAAATGTTTAAAAAAAACAAAAACAAATTTTTAGTTGTTGACCATGAACAAATAAAATATGTGCAATGTCCCCTTGGAACTATGTTCTATTATTCCAATACAAATGCAATAGGTCAGCTATTTTGTGTATGGAATAGCTGTAAGGTTTACATGTCTGTGTGGCAGGTATCTAAAAGTTGACCTCATTTTCATGATTCATTGGTCAATGTTAAAGTTTTTGTGGTTTGGTCTGTTTTTCAATTACCAGTACCATAAGCAATATGTCAACTATACTTGGTGTATTGAATAAGTGTAAGGTGTGTATGTCTGTCTGACAGGATTTATCTGACCTTGACCTCATTGTCATGGATCTTTAAAGATATTAAGCTGATGTGATACTTGTATTAAAACTTTTATCTTTAAGACTTTCAACATAAAATCAATGGTCAGTAAAGCAGGAGAAACATTACGGTGTGTGCACTCTTTGTCATTTATAATATAATTTTGAAACACTCCTAGTAAATGTTATTACACCACTGAAAATGAATATGATAAAGTGTTGATACTATTTTTAGGTTACCTATTTTCAACGCTTTCGTGGGTATAGATATACAACCAATTTAATTGTTGAACAAAATACAGAACATGATACAGTCCTTGGATAGTGTAAACTTCCCACTAACACCATACACCATTACACCATTCACCATACACCATTACACCATACACCCTGTGCCATTACACCACACACGTTACACCTTTGCACCATACACCTTACACATTACACCATAATGCAATTTAATTTCAAAGAAAGCGTGCGACTACAAAATTATTTGTTTATTCTAACAAACGAATTTTGATCACAATATTGTAAATTAATGTATAAAATTAAAAATCAGTTATCAATATTTTGCATAGTTTTAAATGTCGTACACCATTCCCGATCGCACGTTACACCATTACACCATTCCCCTTACACCATACACCATGGCACCATACACTTTTTACCATTGCACCATATGCCATACACCATTACACGTTTTTTTGGGAAGTTTACACCATCAAAGGGCTGTATATGAATTATAAAATATTCAAAAACTTGAAACAAATGAAAATGTCATTGTAAAGGGAGGTAAATCATATGAATAAAAAAAGGATAAGGCAGAAAAAAGTAAGAAGACACCATTGCAAAAAAAATACAAAGGGACAAACAACAGTCTATAAAACACAAAAAGTAGAAATTTGGTAAGGCAAACCTTACAAATAAATGGGGAGAACATAGATGCTCCAGAAGGATAAGCTGTGAGTTCCCTGTCACAAATGGGGATTTTAACACCATAAGCCATTTAATAAACCACCAATACAAAACTTTACACATTTAATAACATTACCCCTAAAATTTGGCTTCAATTTATTTTTAATGCATGCTACACATCTAGTTTATCTGTGCATGAAGCACTGCCTTAAAATAATGCTCAGTAATAGGGAACATTTCCAAAGAAACTCCTGCAACTAAAGATTAAAATGGGAGATAAGGGATAACACATTACTGAAACAGCAATCTAAAAAAAACAACAAACAAAACAGAATAAAGGGTCAACATAAAGCCTTCAAAATACTGAAATATGTTTCAGTACCATATATTTAAGCTCTAGCAAAGTTATTGTTCTCTTAAACAACTTTTTGGAGCACAACATTTATAATAATAATGATATTTGTTATCCAACTATCTCATTGTGTGAGAAGATGGATGAAAAACTTGCATGTTGGGGCCTAAAAGAAAAATTTATTTTAAAAACAACAAAAAATTATTAATAATTCTCCATTATTGTTCTTCGCGCATATGTTGCTGCTTCAACTTGCTGAGTCTCATCCTATTATTCCAATATTTACCTGAGATATTTTGTCCTTGATGATCTCAGCTCATTAAAGTTCTTTATATTAATTATTCATTACAGGTTCCATTATCTGTATTCCAATGTTTACCTTAATAATTTCAGAAGTTATGCTGATATATCGATACACGAAGAGATGTTAAGTGACGTTGTTCGTACAAATGCCTACAGGTTCGTAGAGATCACACAAGAAGTCTTGTTAATAATTCATTCAAGGTTAAGATTTATTACAGCAATCAATCTAGTAATGTCTGCCTTGTGCTTAATTTGCTGTATTATCATGATTTTTTCTCTTTTTAATTACTTTTGTATAACTACTTAATATAATTTGAGTTTGATTAATTAAACAATAATGGGGCATTGGCATGAGCACAATTTTCACAACAGTTATATATTTGGCTAATTATTTTTAGCAAACTTAAACATGCATAATCACCATTATTTTCAAACCTTCAAAAGGTAGATAATATCCTGTAAAGGAAAACTGGGATGTACATGTATATAAATGTAAACATTACTATTTACCATTCTATGATGGTTTTTTTTTTTTTGCAATCTCCCCTTTTTTAATGTGAAAATGAATTAAATGATTGATTGATTTATTTGTACTTAACTATATTTTCATCTGTTTTATAAGGATATCTTTTGAAGTAAGATCAATGAAGATTTTAGAATGAGGTCTCCTGACCCAATGTTACAAAATGACTGAGCCACCTTTAAGGTTAGAACATAATGGAGCCTTATGGGGAAATAAATTTAACAAACATCCTGATCTGGGAAACAATTGTTTTGATTAGTGGTTAACCAATCTTGAATTTAAGTTCTTAAGGCTACACATGACCTCATTTTCATTGTTCATTGGTCATTTTTAGCTCACCTGGCCCAAAGGGCCAAGTGAGCTTTTCTCATCACTTGGCGTCCGTCGTCCGTCGTCGTTAGCTTTTTACAAAAATCTTCTCCTCTGAAACTACTGGGCCAAATTTCACCAAACTTGGCCACAATCATCATTAGGGTATCTAGTTTAAAAAATGTGTCCAATGACCCCGCCAACCAACCAAGATGGCCGCCATGGCTAAAAATAGAACATAGGGGTAAAATGTAGATTTTGGCTTATATTTCTGAAACCAAAGCATTTAGAGTAAATCTGACAAAGGGTAAAACTGATTTTGAGGTCAAGATATATCTGCCTTGAAATTTTCAGACAAATCTGACAACCTGTTGTTGGGTTGCTGCCCCTGAATTGGTAATTTTAAGGAAATTTTGCAGTGTTTGTTTATTATCTTGAATATTATTATAGATAGAGATAAACTGTAAACAGTAATAATATTCAGCAAAGTAAGATCTACAAATAAGTTGTCATGACCAAAATTGTCAGTCGACCCTTTTAGGAGTTATTGCCCTTAATAGTCAATTTTTAACAATTTTTCGTAAATTTTTGTTATCTTTTACAAAAATCTTCTTCTCTGAAACAACTGAGACAAATTTAACCATACTTGGCCATAATCATTATTAGGGTATCTAGTTTAAAAAATTTGTCCGATGACCCCGCCTTCCAACCATCATGGCCAACTTGGTTAAAAATAGAACATAGGGGTAAAATGCAGTTTTTGGTTTATATCTCTGAAACTAAAGCATTTAGAGCAAATCTGACAGGTGGCAAAAATGTTCATCAGATTTAGATTTATCTGCCCTGAAATTTTCAGACGAATCCGACAACCCTTTGTTGGGTTGCTGCCCCTGAGTTAGTATTTTTACAAAAATTTTGCAGTTTTTTGTTATTATCTTAGATATCATTATAATATCTAATATCTAATACTATTAATTATGATTTTAACCTTATTTTACATGATTTCCAAAGCACCAGTAAATACAGGTGAGCGATACAGGCTCTTGAGAGCCTCTAGTTTTCTGTTTATGCCTGTTTCTCAGATACTGTTAGCAGTAGGTCAACTACATTTGGGGTATGGAATGATTTATTCAAAGTCTAATGTCATTCCTATATGTTATGGACATTTAACAGATTATAGACTAATTGTGAAGCAGAGTCATTTCAGCATTTCCACTCATGGTTTTGTTACCTTATAGATATGCTATACTGAAGAATTATGAGAAGATAAGAGGAAAGACTGTGGCAGATATTGGTGCAGGGACAGGTATTCTCAGCGTGTTTTGTGTACATGCTGGTGCTAAAAAAGGTTTGTTGAAATAATAACTTAAACGGTACCACTTTTGCTTCACCAGATGCTCATTTCGACAATCAATGTCTCTTCAGTGATGCTAGAGGCCAAAATATTTGAAATCCAAAACTTAATTCAAACCAATAAGAGCTGATAAAACCAAAAGGGACTAAAAGGGTAAGGTAAAATTTGGGCAAGGAATCAGAGCTAAGCTTGAGGAAAATATATTCCTTAATTTAAAATGATTTCCAAAATTTTATTACAGAAAATTCAATAAAATTATATCCGTGAAGAAAATTGTTTACTATTCCATTTAGTTGATATTTATAATCGATACATTCAAATAAATACAAATTGAAAACTAAAGTGAATGGTGGTTAAAAAAATGGCAGTCTGACACTTGATTATTTACCTAAATTTGGATATTACATTTATTGAACCACCTCATATTATTGTTGAAGGAGAAAGTAATGATCAACTTCTGTACTGCATATTTTGTGAACAATTGTCATTAAATGTCTGCCGCTGGTTTGTCTCATATTTGGTTGGATATGACGTGTAGATGACTATATGTTATGGTGTCACATTGGTTTGACTGTTTTGCAGGAGTCTGCTTTTGAGTACTTTTTACATGCTTGTTTTTCTAAATATTTTTTAATATTGTATATTGGGAAATTTTCATATGTCTTATTTTTGCTATTTTGGTGGTAGATATTTAACCTTATGCTTACATTTTACTGATCATCAAAATGCATTGTATGAAGCCATGAAATGTGAATGATGAACAGCACAGATCCAACTGCCTCATCTCAGGCCCAAACAGCAAACAAAACCTGACAAGAAAATAAACGGATATACGGTACATGATATCTTGATCGGCATTGCAGTATAGTGTGTATGCTGAAAAAAATGTTGACAATATATTGAGATGATGATGATGGAAGTTTTTAACAACCGTGACTGGCTATACTCGCACGGTCGGAAATGAGATATATATGGAGAAGACATGCTAACACCATTTTTCAGCAATGAGGAAGAAATGAAAACAATATGTTACCTGGTTACCATGGTTACAGTATATGTAGAAGAACATGTAAAATTTGATGTTTACACTGTACATCAGTATATTTTGAAGAAATATTTAGATTGATTAGTTGTTCCTTGCTAAACATCTATGCATTTAGAAGAAAAGTTTACACTGCATTACAGTAGATTGAGAAGATATAATTAAACTATGTATTTAGAAGAAAAGATTACATAATATTACTTTAGATTCAGAAGAAATATTTACACTATATTATTAATTCATATACACAATAATCACACCATGTTTCAGTATTTGAAGAAGAAGTAGTACCACTACAACCATAAATGCAGAAGACATTTATCATACCCCACGCAACGAGTTGCGGAGGGTATAATGTTTTTGACCCGTCCGTCCGTCTGTCCGTCCGTCCGTCCGTCCGTCTGTCCGTCTGTCCGTCCGTCAGTCCTGTTTCTTGTCATCACAACTCCTCTCAAACCACACAACAAAATTTTTTTTCTAGGAGTTACGCCCCTTTGAACTTATTTACTTTAATGTACTACTGCAACAGTTTGTCATCTCAACTCCTCTGAAACCACACAACAAAATTTCATGAAACTTTGTAGATAATAAGGACATACTACGTAGATGTGCATATCGACAGGAAATTACGATTCAATTTTTTTTCAAGGAGTTACGCCCCTTTGAACTTATTTGCCCAATATACTACTGCAACCTTTTGTCATCGCAACTCCTCTCAAACCACACAATAGAATTTCATGAAACCTTTTCAGATAATAAGGACATACTACGTAGATGTGCATATCGACAGGAAATTAAGATTCAATTTTTTTCTAGGAGTTACGCCCCTTTTAACTTATTTGCTTCAATAAACCTCTGCAACAGTTTGTCATCGCAACTCCTCTGAAACCACACAACAGAATTTCATGAAATTTTGTAGATAATAAGGACATACTACGTAGATGTGCATATCGACAGGAAATTATGATTCAATTATTTTTCTAGGAGTTACGCCCCTTTGAACTTATTTACTTTAATGTACTACTGCAACAGTTTGTCATCTCAACTCCTCTGAAACCACACAACAAAATTTCATGAAACTTTGTAGATAATAAGGACATACTACGTAGATGTGCATATCGACAGGAAATTATGATTCAATTTTTTTTACAGGAGTTACGCCCATTGAACTTATTTGCCCAATATACTACTGCAACCTTTTGTCATCGCAACTCCTCTCAAACCACACAATAGAATTTCATGAAACCTTTTCAGATAATAAGGACATACTACGTAGATGTGCATATCGACAGGAAATTACGATTCAATTTTTTTTCTAGGAGTTACGCCCCTTTGAACTTATTTGCTTCAATATACCTCTGCAACAGTTTGTCATCGCAACTCCTCTGAAACCACACAACAGAATTTCATGAAACTTTGTAGATAATAAGGACATACTATGTAGATGTGCATATCGACAGGAAATTATGATTCAATTTTTTTTTCTTATACAATTTTTTTTTCTTACAGTTATTTTATTTCTCCAGTGACAATGTGGGGACGTGGGGTATGTGAGCGTGCTCACTAAGGTTCTTTAATTCAAACTATATATCAGCAGAAGAAATATTCTATAATGTAAGACTCTTTTATACTATTTTTGTAGTATTTGCAATAGAAGCAAGCAGCATGGCAGAGCAGACAGAATCATTAGTAGAAGAAAATAAGTTATCCAACAGAATAACAGTCATCAACAAAAAAACAGAGGTAGGTTCTCAATACAGCTATTACCAGACTCTACATCTACAAAAATGGAATTTTTTAATAAATTAAGTCATGAATCTTGAATTTGACTCTGAAGATACATTTCCAAGGGACCAGAACTGGTTCCTTTAATTCAATAGCTACAGCAACAAGAAGATAAAAAATAATTTATTTCATTTTTAAACAATCATTTCTAGTGCTATACTTTAGTTTTTTAACAAGTTTATTTATGAGTGTTTATTACTTAAAACGTGCTATGTCACATTATACTTTCCTATTTGTTAAAACTTGAATGGAAACTGCATTTAAATCTTATATTTACAGTTTTAGTATGAATTAAGATAACATAATTTGAATTGAACATTTTAATCAATTGTTAATAACAAACATTTAATTATGATAAATTTATTTATTGATTACCATTTATCCAAAGCGGGAAATAAGGGTCCCGATGGCAGTGTTGTCTTAAGTAGTTCATCTACTGTATCACTAGCCTGAGGTTGATAGTTGTAACCCAGCACATGGCAGACCTGTGCTTTCAACTCCAATTTTAATTGAAGTTTCCTGCTGAAGGTCTGTGGTTCTCTTTGGGCACTCCAACTTTCTCCAATATTAAAAATTGGCTGCCACTATATAGCCAATAATGCTGAAGGTGGCATTAAACACCAGATTGTAACTAGTTTTTGACAGCACCACATGGCATTTGTTTAGCCAGCTGAAATTCACAGGTTATGTTTATTGTAAATTAACTGTAAAAGTAAGACCATATTTACAAAAACTAAAATATTACACAGAATAATCCAAGGGATTTAAAGCTTCTGGATATGTCTCCTTATTACAACAAACAAGTTCTTCTCAATTTAAAGGTAAATAACGAGATTTAACTTCTCCCCATCAAGAGGTATAACTAGAGAAACCTCTTACCCATCTAGGTAAATAACCAGATTTATCTTCTCCCCATCATGTGGAATAACTAGAGAAACCTCTTACCCATCTAGGTAAATAACCAGATTTAACTTCTCCCCATCAAGAGGAATAACTAAAGAAACCTCTTACCCATCTAGGTAAATAACCAGATTTATCTTCTCCTCATCAAGTGGAATAACTAGAGAAACCTCTGCCCATCTAGGCAAATAACCAGATTTAACTTCTCCCCATCATGTGGAATAACTAGAGAAACCTCTTACCCATCTAGGTAAATAACCAGATTTATCTTCTCCTCATCAAGTGGAATAACTAGAGAAACCTCTGCCCATCTAGGCAAATAACCAGATTTAACTTCTCCCCATCAAGAGGAATAACTAGAGAAACCTCTTACCCATCTAGGTAAATAACCAGATTTAACTTCTCCCCATCAAGAGGAATAACTAGAGAAACCTCTGCCCATCTAGGTAAATAACCAGATTTAACTTCTCCCCATCAAGAGGTATAACTAGAGAAACCTCTGCCCATCTAGGCAAATAACCAGATTTAACTTCTCCCCATCAAGTGGAATAACTAGAGAAACCTCTGCCAATTTAGGTAAATAACCAGATTTAACTTCTCCCCATCAAGAGGAATAACTAGAGAAACCTCTGCCCATCTAGGTAAATTATCAGATTTAACTTCTCCCCATCAAGTGGAATAACTAGAGAAACCTCTGCCAATTTAGGTAAATAACCAGATTTAACTTCTCCCCATCAAGAGGAATAACTAGAGAAATCTCTGTCCATCTAGAGGAAAACCAGACTGAACTTCTCCTCATCATGGAGAATAAACAGACTAAATCTCCCAAATCAAGGGAAATTACTATAAAGAACCTCTGCCCATCTATTTCATGTATTTGAAAAAGATATTTTACATTAGATATTGCCTTGTTTATCTTTCATATCATGAAGCACCCGAATTAGCCTTCATCTATCAAAGGTTGATATTAATCACCTCATTCCATGTTATTTATAAATCTAAAAATGATTTAAGTAAAAATATCTGAATAGATGATAATTAGTTACAGTAATAGATGTGATATAAGTAATTATGGTATTATAAAGTCTGAATAATATTTTCTGACTAATGTGTATCACAAAGATGATGAATTTATCAGAAGATAATTACGTCCATTTCCATTGATTATTAGTATAATTTATGTCAATGACCACATTAGCAGTAGACACCAATTGTTCTCCAATGATTCTGTATGGATTTAGAAATATTTTTGAGTTTCTTTCAGATACATAAACCTATTATGTTCAAAATTATCAAAAAATCATTTTGACTGGTCTTGCAATTGATTAATTATTTTTAGTCTCCTTTGTCCCGTTTGATGGTTTAAACAAATATGGAAAATTTGAAAATAATATTTGTTTAGGTGAAATGAATCAAATAAATGAAGAAAAAATCAATGTTAGTTGTTTTCAGTGTAAATTGAACAAATTGCATAAATCTCACCTTTATTTCACAGACGAGTATTTAAGTGCCATTATTAAATTTCATATTTGCTTTCTATGTGATCTGTTTTTTAGAATTTTTTTTGGTGGGGTGGCTGGTTGTAATAGGAAATAATGCTTAAATGTTTGATGTTAAAACTGAAGGGCTTGTTAGACATGATGTGTATTGATAAATAAGCAGTTCATTGTGCTTGAAAGTGTTTATTTTTGATAAATGTGTTTTTGATAATTTTAATTTTTCTAATTGAAAGTATAGTGCATATAGTTTTAATTAACCTTGAGGCATATCTATCAGTTTGAAGAGAGATAAAGACTAGCACATATAATATGGCTATGTTTTTCCATAATTGCGATTGAAAAAAAAATTAGTTGTTAAGAGTGACCGATTCTTTTGGTGTCAAAAGCAACAAAAATTGCAACATTATTATGCTTTTTTTTGTGGTACTTTTTTTTTCCATGCTGGCTAACTATATTTTGTTAAATTATCCTATTTTCTCCTGTCAGTAACTTTTTTCTTTTCTTTTTTTGTATGATACTGGGAGAGTACCAGGTACAGTTAAAAATTCAGTTGGGTTTTTTTTTTTGTCAATAGAAACAATCTTTGGAAATATTTTTTTTATGTCACATGGCCCTTGTTATAGCCATCACTTGGTGTCAGTTGTCCTCTTCTTTATCAATCTATCTCATTGACGTTTTAAAAAAAATCCTCCTCCTCCAGGTCGGGCTAAATGTGATAAAGTTTTACCTAATTGTTCCTTAGGGAATCTAGTTTAAAAAAATTGTACCCTGGGATTTGATCCATCAACAGCAATTGTAACAAATGAATGTGTTTAGCATTCAGTGGATTTTATCTTTTATGAACATAATGATTGTTCTTCTCTTTTTATTACCTTATTTTAAAAAGTGACATTAAGGTTTTGTTTGTGTGTTGATCTTCATCATTTGGGGGATACATTCATAAGTAAAGGTAACTGATCCTCATACTTATCTCTCAAAAACCAGTTCACTAGTGACCTTCTTTTCTATGACAAATAAGAGGATTCAAAGCCCAAATCTAAAATGACCTAATAACTGTAAACAAGGGGCTCTAAAGAGCTTGTATCTCTCACCTTGCATTTTTGCAAAAATAAATTGGTACAATGCAACAAGAATATTTGTTCCTACAAAGAGTCATTTTACAATTCTGTCATATGACTTATTTGTAGATCTTATTGTGCTTAACAATTTTGCTACTTACAGTTTCTATCAATCTCTTATAGTTGTAAGGTGTAAGCACTTTTCAGATCTGACAAGTACTTGCCTTCTTATCTCTATTACTTTGAATTATGAGTGTGGTATAGTTAGCACAATAATACATGCAACTTCTTGTTTTATTTGCTTTGATCTTCCATTGTATTTACACTTTTCACTCAAAATTTTCTTTTGACAGGATGTGGCCTTTCCAGAAAAGTTAGATGCTATTGTCAGTGAATGGATGGTGAGTTATAGTGTCAAGAATGGTATAAAGGTCAATTTACTTATTTAAATTTCTAGTATAAGACCATAAATTGTATGGTTTTCAGCTTTCCCCCCGATTGAGAAAAGAATTTTCTGACATATATGCTGATGATAAAAAATAAAACATTTAAAAAATAGACCATTTCAGAAAAGGTTTTGCATTTTTGGACCGTTAACTGTTTTCCAAGATTATTGCTTAATTTTTATGTCTCACACTCTTATTGCTTAATTTTTATGTCACACACTCTTAGGAGAATATCTTTTTTTTTAATATGTATATTGCAGGGTTACTGCTTGTTATATGAGTCTATGTTGCAGTCAGTTATTGATACCAGAGATAAATGGTTGAAAAAGGTATGTGTGTCTTCAGGTTAGAGCTAGAAAGATTTATTAATTGATCATGTACTCAGATTAGAGTATAAAGCATTAACTTAAGGTGGTATATAACACTACAGGGAGATAACTCTGTAAAAATCAGCTGAACGTTTTAATCACGTTCTGTTAAGGAAATATTAAGCTTCTCAATGATTAAAACTAGTGTTTGTCAAACTGCTATATATCCAATGAAATTTTTAAAAGTGTGTGGTTTAAGTTTTTGAAATTTTGATATTTTTGTCAAAGGGTCAAAGTAAATATTTTGACAAAATTTTATGAAAATTAAACAAGCCAAATTAATTTTAGTCAAGGTGTTTGGTACCACCTTAACTGAATAATTCCCTGCTTAAAAGAAAAAAACAAAAGGAAGAGAAATTTGTTTTATATCTATTTAATTTGTGCAAAGTGCTCTTTAAACTTTACTTTTATGATTGTTTGTATTTATTCCAATATATAAATATTTCTAAAAATATTCTACCAGAGGGCTCCACTAAAACCAGATTGTTTGATGTGTCTTAAGTTATCTTTTCCTATTTACCATTCTATGCTTGAATGAAAGTTAGTTAATTATTTAGCCCAATCCTCTCAGACTTGGTCCTTTGATTAAAAAGTTTTGCATAGTTTACAGTCATGAGGTTGTTAAATGTAAGCAAATGGCAGTTTTGAGTATTCTACTTTTACTAAGGTTTCGGAACTGTGAGCTTTTGCCATCACTTGGCATCAGTCGTCGTCTGTCGTCGTCCGTCATCGTCCGTCTGGTGTAAACTATTTCAAACATCTTCTCTGAAACTACTGAACCAATTCCAACCAAACTTAAGCTGAATGATGCTTAGGGTATCTAGAATAAAGTTTGTGTTTTATTTACTGTTTCGTCAAATAACATAGCCGTCATGGCTAAAAATAGAACATAGGGGTAAAATGCAGTTTTTGGCTTATATCTCAAAAACCAAAGCATTTAGAGCAAATCTGACATGGGGTTAAAGTGTTCATTAGGTGAAGTTCTATCAGCCCTGAAATTTTCAGTTGAATCTGATAACTGATTGTTGGGTTGCTGCCACTAAATTGGTAATTTAAGGAAATTTTTCAGTTTTTGGTTATTATCTTGAATATTATTAATGATAAAGATAAACTGTAAACAACAAAAATGTTCAGCAAAGTAAGATCTACAAATAAGTTCGATGACCAAAATTGTCAATTGTCCCCTTAAGGAGTTATTGCCCTTTAAAATCAATTTTTCACAATTTGTTCATTTAGTTTGCTTACTTTAAAAAATCTTCTCCTTTGAAACTGCTGAATCAATTTCAGCAAAAATTAGGCTGAATGAGTTTCAGAGTATCTAGTATAAATTTTGTATTTTATTTTCTTGTACGTCAAGAAACATAGCCACTATGGCTAAAATAAAACATAGGGGGAAAATGCATTTCTTTGATTGTGAAGAAAATATGACAGATACAAAGAACATTTCAATGGAAGTTTTAAGCCATTCATTAGTATATATTGAAAAACAAAAATAATCATTGATGAAAGATTTAAGCAAAAAATTCCAGGTGAGCGATTCAGGCTCTTGAGCATGTTGAGAGCCTCTTGTTGTCTCTCTTGTAATGTCTGTAATTGAATACGGAACATTTCTGCAATATTAATATAATTATTGATAAACATGTTATAAGATATTGAGAATATCTGTTCTAATAAGTTTAAAGAACAATGGTGTAACGATTTCATATCAAACAAGCCTAGCAAACTACGTACTTGTAGATTATGTAAAAATGAATGTGATGAAGAAAATTATTTATTAAAAAATATACCTGGAAAATATAGACATGATAGATGTGCATCTGCAAAATTAGCAAATGGTACTGTTTCTTTGAAAATAGAGACTGGAAGGTATAAGGGTCTATTTGTTGAAAATAGAATTTGTTTTAAAACATTTTAAGACGAAAAACATGTCTTATATCTGTCAATTGAAAATCTTTGTAATGAGTGAGTATATCAGGGTAGGTGTGTTTGAATGTATAAATTAGCGTTCTCCATTCTCTATCCTACTTATAGAATTGTCCAGAATATGAAGTTTTGCCTTGTTATTTGTTTTATAAAGCATCTTTATGTATAAATGATAAATTTATATATTTGTCTTATGACAATAAATTTATATTTTTGATTACAGATGAAATGATGAACTTTTATACTGCCAATATCTGCAATGACATTAAAATGAAAAGATGTAATTTACATTGCTAATTTAAATATTGTAGATAATGATTATCACAAAAATAATCAACTGGTCAATAATAGTATAAATCAGATAAGAATTTGAGAAATATATAATTATTTATTCATATTTTGTTTTAGGAAGGATTGATGTTTCCAGCTACTGCAACACTATACATAGCTGCATATAATGATGATGAATATGACGCAAGGTAAATTCTACAGGTAAAAACTGTATGTAAGATAAAAAATATACATCCTCAAACAAAATCAACTACATACTGGTATATACCTATAATATAATTACACCTTTAACTTTGGATACCTTGAAATGATTTATTAGGTGTGGAAACCAGCAATTTTTAGATTAAGTGCACAGTAGATGTTGGTCAGAACTTTTACAGTTCCAAAGTTATGGTACTCGATTGGTGAAATTTTTTTTTTTTTTTTTTAGTTTCTAGATGATAAATAGAGAACTGCATTTTAAAATTAATTGAATTGGACTACTAACATGACTAAAGACAGGTTAAGTTCGATTTTAGGTATTTTCACTTTAACCATTCCAGCATGATGTACTTGATTGTTGGAAAAATTCAAAATTTGGGGTTTCAAAATAATGAATGGAGAATTATTTTTTTATATGAATTTCAGTAGAATGTTTTGGACCACTTACCAAAATCATGATTGCTCAGTTGCTGGGGGGTATCTGTGATCACTAGATCACCAATCTAGTTGATACTACCTTATTTGTGTCTGGTTGGTATCAAGGTGTCAAGTATCCTTTGCTGGTACATGTAATGACCATATAGTCAATAATATGTGTCAGTATTTCAGGTTTTATGATGTCATTTCACAAATGAAATGATTAAAATATTTTTTTCTTATTAGAGGCATGGTGTTACATCTTACAAAGTCTATCCAAATTTATTATTTTTGCAAAGAATTCTGCTCAAGCTGTGCTAGGGGCTGTCTTAAATTTGCAGTGAGGTGAGAGTTTTTTTGCTCCGTGTTGAAGGCCTCACTGTGACTTTGAGATGAAGAACAGCAATAAAAAGCTGTTCCTTTGCTTATTGTGTGTTTTTTGCTGTGTATGTACTGATTTTGTGTCATGGATGGATACCCCATATCCTTTGTTTTTCTATTATAACAATTTTGGGATAGACAAATTTTATAGTGGTTGAACACTTTTTAAGTTTGGGTCTAAACCAGGGCTTCCAAAAAATATTTCATATTCCAATTTTTATCCTGTAAGGTTATAAGTAACAAAAACATACCTGCCAACTTTTCAAAACCTCCATAGGGGATTTTAAGCACAAGAGGACCTAGTGCATGTTTTATACATGCCTAAAGTATGTTTGATACAATATACTATGATTTTATTGAGTATATATGTACTTAAATACCATTCAACTCATTTGAATAACTATTTTTAGGTATTAATTTCATATAATAGAGGATTTAAATAGTCAGGCCAACCCCTCCCATCTCCCATGGGGATACAACCCATAAATCGGGATAGTTGGCAGATCTGCATAAAGCAATCATTATAATAATAATTTGGGCATCATAACAATGATTGACATAAAAATGATATGTGAACAGTTGAAGACTTTTTTTTATTAAGGAACTACTTAAAAACTTAGGTATTGTAAGCAAGATTAAAGAAGGCATGTTTTCAGAAAATGTTATTTATATATTTAGCATGCAAACTCTTGTATTTTTAGGTTAAATATATGGAATGAGTTTAAATCAATGTACAAGGTTTCAATGGAGTCCATGAAAAAATGTGCAAAGAAATGTATATCAAGTAAGTTAAACCATTACAATGTATATATATACAGCAAATAGTAAAAAGGAGTTTGCAGTGCTAATATATATGTTCACTAATATGTAAAAAGATTTTTTTGTGGATGGATGTACGGTGTGAGAAAACTCAGCAACCAATATTAAACAATATCACTTGGAAAATTTAAATTTATGATTGATTGATTGCTTTTTGTTGTTAAGCACCACTTTCAGCTCTAGTGGCTATTTCATGGCTTTATTAGAACATTATAATATTGATTGACAGGATCATCATTTCATAAAAACTGATTCTACCCTTTATTCTTCAGCAGGAAATGTATATTTGATATTCTGTTTGATCTACATCATACAAGAATGAATCATTTGTGACAGAGTTTGTATTTGTATTTTGTTACACTAAGGAAAATCATTGGACCTATATTTCACTTTTAATATTCATTGGTTAACTGTTAGCTGTCAGTTGGTCCTGTGTCAGTTTAAAGTTTTGGTTCAAGGTAGTTTTACATGAAGGTTTGGTCACATCAACATGAAACTTAGTACACTTGTAAATTATAATGTTTAAATATATGTCAAATTAGGGTTTCTAATACCCAGATTTGGCAGATCATCCAACATGGAAATGTTAAAGTCTGAGCAGGGCATGGTGTCCAAAGAACACATATTCTTGTTAATTACAACAAGTTGAATTGTGAGAGATGATGTGAAGTATGTATTGTAGATACCTACATCTATATTTTAATAATTGTGAAGGATTGGATGTAAATTACCAATTATAATATTTCAATTTTCATTTAAGTAAATTAATATATGCCTGTACACTGAGTTATCATTGTATTATGGTTTTAATTGTGGATTAGTTAATGCCACAAAGTGTTTACTTTATAGTTTTTATTTCAGGGAATGTAAGTGTAAGATGTGTACCACCTATGAGTATTATGTCCCATGGTCAAACAGTTTGTTCTATAGATCTGAAAACAGTAACACTCCAAGAATTACATAATATCAAAGTAAGCTGCCAAGCCAAGGATAAGACATGTACCCTCATAGCACCATTGAATACTGTAAATTCTGAACTTTTTTTTACTTTTTAACTTTTTTTCTTTTCCTCAATTTTTATTCTCAATAAATTTCTATAACAAAATCATATTAAATCTTAATAGTTAATAGTTAAATAATATTTTGCATCATTATCATGGATTTGTGCTATTTAATAAATTCACTCGCTAATTTCTGATGTTACAATAATATGTACAAAATTTGAAAAATACACAGAATTTTATAAATTTATTGGAAAAGTGTTATGTCATTGTGCATTGATTATTCTAACTACTTATAAGTAATAAAATGCACTTTATTATTCTATTTTAAAATGTTATCTCTGTAATCTGGATAATAATGAGCAGAGATGGCATTAGTGATAATTTGTGATTTTATAAGCCAAATGGGAGTACATAAAATTTTAATCTGTATTAAAAATGCAATCAAAATAGTATTTTCATTTTTGCATGTAGTAGCTGAAAATAACCTATTTAAAGCTGTTACCTCAGAATACACACAGACATGAACATTTCAGTGCATAAGGTGCATAGATTTTTAACTTTATAGTTGTGTACAGGCTGTTGTAGTAAAAACAGTTTCAAATCTAATGAAGGAGAAAAAATAACATTTTTAAACTTCAGAAATACATAACAGTAAAAGAAAGATAAACCAAATATATTTGTCATTCATTTGTTTTCACTGAAAACAATTTGATATGAAATATCATTAAAAAAAGACAACACTAGACACAAAAAATATTGGACAGCACAGCCATCACATTTAGGAAGGAAAAAAACACAAAAACATTATTAGGAATAAATAGCCAGAAGTTGCTATTATAGAAGGAGTGAGGTACAAAATTTAAATATATTTACCCCAATACTCTTTTAATAATGATTTTTATCTAATCAAGATAGTTTGATTTTAAAAAATTTAAATGCAAGGCTTGCCAATCATTGAAAGTAGATCAATATCATAAGTAATATATGGTAACATGGATGATAGAATCTGTTGGTCCAACAATTTTAATTAAAAAAACAACAACAGTATAATATTCCAAATAAATTAGGTGTGAAATCATACACAATTTAAAAATTATGTAATACTATGCCCAACTATTCACCATCAGTTAAAATGAATGAAGAATAAGATCAATTGAGTTAAACTAATTTTTAGGAACTGAAACTTCTCTTATCATGCTTATGAATATTAAGACCAAAATGTCATAAAAGTGAAGTACCCAATTAAAAATGATCACAGGTAGCAAAAAAACAGTACCACTATATTGAACAAAGATATAAGAGATAATGTATACTTTGGAAAGCAGGGTCAATATATATGAATGAAAGTGAATAATACAGCCACCTAACAAATATAAGCAACCGACATCCAGAGGCCAACATACAGTAGAAAGATGTTAATACAATATGTCAATATTAAAATCATTTTGAGTCTTTAATAGCTGTGAATAAAATAGAAAATATCAAGAAATGCCATCTACATCAAATTCTCCAAAAATAAAAAAGTAAATGCTTTAAAAATGACAAAAGACAAAAACTATTAACAATGTGTTGACTGCAACCAGTAAACTGGCTGAGATAGCCAAAGCTATTGGTTAAATGGTTAAAATTATTCAATACCAAATTTACTTATTATTTTTATTTGCAGAAACAATTTAAACTAGAATGTTTTGGACAATCAACAATACATGGATTCATCACATGGTTTACAGTAACATTTCCAGGGGACATAACTCTGTCAACGTCACCATATTCAGAGTATGTAGATACAGCATGGGGTTAAGCCATGCATAAGTATTTTCCAGAAACACAAATTTGATTATAAATAATTTAACATAAATGGATGATAATTCAAAAGATGGTTTTTCATGGTCATATTATTTATAAAGCAAATAAGCTTAGGAATCTACATTCAAATCTCTTTCTGCCCTAATAATAGACTTCTTGGTATTCTGTACAATATAATGCTTGCCATTGCACTTTGTACACTGTTCATGACATAGCTGTATGAAATTATTGCAGTATACAGACACTGATATTGATCAGAGAGGTTAACTAAACAGTTCTTTATCAGCAGGTCGGCAGGTTAAGTACTAAAAGCTTGCTTTCATTAATATTGAGCTTTCTTTGATACAATATTAGTTCATATTGTTTTTTTTTCTATTTTGAAGAGTAAGAAATCGTTCCTAGTCCAATCTCTTTTTATCTTTTGTTGACAGGCAGTAGGGGCATTGAGTTTTACCTTTTTTTAATTGATTTATGAGTGTAGAATCGAAACATATGGTTATTACCCTGATTTGTCAGGCTTAATGGGATGAATTTTCTCTGAGTCTGATGAAAAAAACTCCCATTACAAGTTTGATAAAATCTTAAGGGTCAGACTCTACTATGAACAATTTGTGACAGACCTCTTGACAAGAAAAGCTTACTCTAACACATCTGAGTCTCATAGTAAATTTGAAATCTTTGTAAGTTTGAAATATGCTTATACATCCCACAAGCCATATGTTGTACAGAGGTTCTGAATAATATTGATGAGTCCTTTAATTTTGATAAAGTTGTCTTCCTTGTTCTAAATATCTGAAATTTGAAATATAGTTTTATTGTTCATTGAATATGATCCAGGCAGCTGATATATTTCAACAGCAGTGTCTGAATCTCTCATACTGTATTATACATTGTATTTTGTAAGAAAATATGAGATACTTGATATTTGCTATTAATCATAGATATGAGGGAAACATGATTTACAAAAGAGAATCAAATTATAATTGATTGATTGATTGATTGGTGCTTAATGTCACTTTCAGCATATCATCTATTGTGCTATTTCAGGGCGGTTAGTTTTTATTGAAGGAGGAAACCGGAGTACCTGGAGATAACCACTGACCTTCAATAGAAAAACTAACAATCCTAGTCAATTTAGATTGGAGTCAAGCACACCTGCCATGTGCGGGATTTGACCTCAAGCTCAGTGTTGACTGGCTTATGATACATTAGTTCGACTTCTTAGACAACTCATCCACTGAGGCCCCTAAATCCAATTATGTAATGTTTGACATATTTTCAATGGAAACAATTTTAACTTGTGGTATAATGATGTTGATTGATACCGTAGCTTCTTCAACACAGTTTGACACTGCAAATTTGTGTAGTACTTGTACATGACAGTGAAATAGTGTATTTATTACCATCTTTATGGTTGTAATTGACAACTCTAATCTCCATCAGACCTTGATGCTGAAAAAATGATATATGACTGAAACAGAATCCAGTCGCTATTCATTTCAAACCAAAATTTTTGCAAATTATTATACCCCCATTTCCTAGTTATTGCATTCACCATGTCTATCCCTCCTTTCTTCTGTTTGTCTAACAAATATTTCTGTCACACTTTTCTTTCTCAGTTTTTAACCGAATTTTCAAAGGAAAAATTGGTTATTGATTTGGGGATGTACGGTAGGCGGGCAGGCGGCTGGCAGACAGTGTCTGTTCATTAACATAAAAACCAAATTTAGATATGTTGTTTCCTGTGACTGAATGAAGGTCAAGTTCAATTTTCACGATTTTAGCTTTTCTCGTTGTTGAGTTACAGCCCTTTTTAGTAGCCAAAAGTGGTACTTATTATGTGATTGAGTTATCTCCCTTTAATTATATATATAAAGTTTGATTACACTTACAGATAAGTTTTATAGATTCTTAAAAGACATTGAATTAATGATAAATGACATTTTGGATTTATTTTCTTTCTTTGGTAAATTGTTTGAAGAATTTTGTGGTAGGTTTGTTTGTTATTCTGTATAAACTATAAATATTATGAATGGCCATGCTATATATATATATATATTTTTTTTTGATGAATTAAACTAAGCTTATATTGTCTATTAATAAACATATATTTAGATTTCTGATTTTGGGCCCAGTTTTCAAGTTGGTCCAAATGGGGGTCCAAAATTAAATTGTGTTTGATTTCAACATAAATTGAATATATATAGGGTTCTTTGAAATGCTGAATCTAAACCTGTATTTATTTTCATTATTAATTAGATAATACTGCATTGAGGTCCAAAGGGTCCTAAATTAAAATTTTATTTAATTTCATAAAAAAATTGAACTCTTTGGGTTCTTTGATATGCTGATTCTAGCAATGTTTAAGTGGTTAAATCATATCTAATTTTATTGATTATAATTTGAAAATAGATATAACATCATATCATAATTTTAGGGAACTATTTGTATATATCATTTATTCAGTTTGAGTTGTTTCCCTTTGAACAGAATATTAATAAGTATATGTATAAAATTAAACTGTGTTTCATTTCAACATAAATTAAATATATATAGGGTTCTTTCAAATGCTGAATCTAAACCTGTATTTAAATATTGGATTTTTGGGCCCAGTTTTCAAGTTGGTCCAAATCAGGGTCCAAAATTAAACTTTGTTTGATTTCAACAAAAATTGAATTTATGGGGTTCTTTGAAATGCTGAATCTAATTATAACCATGTATTTAGAGATTTTGGATTTTGGGTTCCTTTATCAAATTGGTCCACATTGAGGTCCAAAGGCTCCTAAATTAAACTTTTGTTTGATATCATCAAAAATTGAATTCTTTGGGTTCTTTGATATGCTGATTCTAACAATGTACTTAGATTTTGGATATTGGACCATAATAGGTAAATGTCTAATTTCAAATTTTTCAGTTCTTTGACCACATTCATTTTGTGTCACGAACCTATGCTGTGCCAAATATTCAATCACAATCCAAATTCAGAGCTGTTTTAAGCTTAAATGTATTGTCCATACTTGCTCAACTGTTCAGGGTTCGACCTCTGCATGCGCAGGAAATCCGGTTTGCTGTCACTCTGACAGCCTCCTGTTACTGCATATACTGTAGGGAAGGACTTTTTATCTGGTCAACAGCTTGGCAGTTATTAGTTGTAAAGTGTGAGAAATTTTCAGATCTCTTACACACATACTTCCTGTTTACAGATTCTTTGAATTTTTCAATATGTTGAATGAACTCAAAGAAATCAATCATTTCTCCAGTATATTTTTTCTGCTGAACAGAATGATTTTATATTTGGTCATTGATGAGTTTTAAAATGTTAGCACTTTCTGGATCTGTCAGACACCTACTTCATGTTTGTCAATACGTTGAATTACGAGAGGAGTATGCCTAGCACGGCACTGTGTGCATTCTTATTAGAATTGTAATCTTTTTTACCTTTATTTGGTTGATAACCTTAAATGCAATAATATATGGTGCTTCCATGACTGTTTTTGCCATAAGATACTTAATGAGTGATACATTTTTACTGAATGTTTTGTTTCCTTATATTTAAAGGATATATTCTTTATTTTAGGGATACACATTGGGGTCAGACAATATTTTACCTAGAAGAACCATTTGATGTTGACCAAGGAACTCTTATCACTGGAGAATTTTCTCTTTGTCCGAATAATTATAAATCCAGGTATTGTATCTAGTTTATTGTTTCCACTTGTTATTGGCAGTTATCAAAGAATTGGGAACCCTATAGTTTTCGCTCTATGATCATTTCTTTTTTTGCGAGGGAGAAGTTGCTTGCACTGTAAAAATTCTGCAATTATTAAACATCTTTTATTAATATTTTTCTTAGATTTTCCTTTATGACAAATTATTTTGTGGTAAACCACTTCATTTTATATATTTTTTTTTAATTCCAAAATTATGGTTTTATGAAAGCAAATTCTTTAGATTGGCCTTCAAATGTCTATAAAATATTCATAGATGTCATAATTTTATTATTTTTCAGGTTTTTAGATATCAACATAAATTACAGGGTTAATAATGGACCAGAAACTAAGAAGTATTATTTTATGAATGATTGTATTACATGATAAATTTTTGAACTTTTGATTATGTGTTTATTCACTTTAAATGGTAATAGAATACTGTTAATGGTCAACAAGGGTGTGTTAAAGGTTGTATTTGTCTTCAAATATGAAATACAAATACTACAAAATTATATGAATTTTGAATTTTACAATACTATAACATTTATTAATATAATATACAGTATTTGATATTGATTCTGATAGAGGTGATATTTCAGTATGAAGATGAAATGGTAAATATATTTACATTTCACAAAAAACAACAGAACCAGTCTAAAACAAATAGGACTTATGTTTTTTATTTTGATAAACAGCCACCAAAAATATTTCAGGATAATGGTTGGTCATTTTTTTTTTAAATTCTTACAAAATTGCATGGGAGATTTTTTTTTTTTTTTTATGCTTAAAAAATTATAAAAGAGAAACAAGTAATACGGCAAATCTCATAATACTGGCTTCAAATGACTGAGTTATTGATGTAATTTTTTATAACTCCTACTTTTGTTCCTGTAAAGAACATTGTTGTTATAAGTAAATATTAAACGATACTGTTTACATCGACAGTAAATGTCATTTCTCTAATTTTCATGCTTTTTTCACATTCTCGGTCGGTGTGTGTAAAATATTTCTCATCTTTACAGAAAACTTTGTTCTCAGCAAATGATTGGTCAAAATTTAATTATGACGTCAAATTTTCTTGGTTTCTTCTGAATTTCCTGAATTACATGAAAAAAGGTGATCATGCCTGATGACGTCACATATAAAGAACACAACTTTCTGCAACACTTTGAAAAGGAAGGATAAACTTTGTTTTAATATCGTCTAAAAATCATTAGAGAAACAGATTCCACCACTATAACTCGTGTATTACGATATTTCTCCAATCTCAACAGTTAATTTTGATCATTTAAAAAGCTCTGCTAGCCACACGCTTTAAATATTAAAATTTAACTGTCAAGTGGAGAAATATCGCAACACACTTGATGCAGTGGTGGAATCTATATTTCTAACTACTGGATGCAATGCCAGTTCTCTAGCATCAATGAAGATCTGTCAGCAGTAACAGTCCAGACGAAGAAAAGAAATAAAAGCACTGTTACTATGATATTGTGTTTTTTTTTCAAGAATATCTTGTGAATACCATCTCATGTATATTCCCTCCATTCCTTTCTTTACCATTTTGATAAACTGTCTCAAAGCAAAATTTCAGACAATCAACATACTTAGCATCTTCCTCCCCTCCACCGTTAGGTCCTGGTTTTTGTGGACTGCCGGTATTATCACAAACATTACAAAGTCAAACAAAACTATTGTAAATCATAAAAAATCTATTAAGCATCAATTTGAACATGTTTAAAATTAAGTTATTTTGTTTGGTTTCAACAGACGCTTAATACATATGCATTTTTATAAAGGTTTTTGTTTTGCTTGTTACGAAAGCCGCAGAATCTGAGACATAGGGATAACAATCCACCAGCGACATAAACTATTTGTATAAAGCTTTATATTTCAGAAGATAGAAGACCTGGATGCTTCATACCTTGTTTGCAGATACCTTATGTTACGAAGTTTCCGTCTGTTCTATGTCTATTGTCCTTTACCTCATTTTCATGGTTCAGTGCCTGCTTGCAAAAAATTTTGTCTTCTGAAATACTCACTTATTATGATTTGAATGATAACTATTTGGTATATGGGTTCTTTACAAGGTCTAGATCTACATGTCCGTCAGAGAAGGTTCATCTGACTTCAACATCATTTTATGGATCAGTGATGAAGGTTAAGTTTATGTGGTCAAGTCCCTATCTCAGATTCTATAAGCAATCAACTATACTTGTGGTATAGAATGATTGCAAGGTGTACATGTCCTACTGGCAGGTTTCATCTAACCTTTACCTCATTTCATTGTTCTTTGGACAATGTTTATCCATAGGTGTCCATTACTTATAGTTATGGTTCAAGCTGAAAATGGAAGCATCCCTTGCAGTCTGTGACTAAAGCCACTAGTCCAAATTTGAAATGGAAAAAATGACTTGGAATAGTAAAAATATGAATTAACTGTATTTCAAAGATTCAACTTTCATTGTTTTTCTTGCTTGTTCATCAAACAAATTTCTTTGTCCTTGTCATTATGATCCTAAATCTCATCAACATATTACAGTGCTTATAATACCCAGAAACAAGGACCAACACTGTATATTAAGATTTCATGGGACAATGATGGTAAGCATACACACCTGGACATTATTACAATAGACACTTGTTTCGTTGGACACCATTACATTGTTCAACTTCAGTGAAAACCTTCACAGTGTGAACAATATTTCAGTGGACACCACAATATTCAACTCCAGTGGACACTATTACAGTACACACCATTACAGTAGACACCATTCCAATACACACTATTACAGTAGACACCATTACAATACACACAGTGCACACTATTACAGTACACGCTATTACAGTGGACACCATATCACAGTACACATCATTACAGTAAACACCATTACAATACACACCATTACAGTGCATACCATTACAGTACACACTATTACAGTGGACACCATTACACTGCACACTATTTCAGTGGACATAATTACAGTAGACACTATTTCAGTGGACGTAGTTACAGTAGATACCATAACAGTGGACACTATTACATTAGATACCATTACAGTGGACACCATTACAATAGATACCATTACAGTTCACACTATTACAGTGTACACCATTACAGTAAACACCATTACAGTACACGCTATTACAGTAGACACCATTACTATACACACTATTACAGTACACACTAATAATGTGGACACCATTACAGTAGACACCATTACTATACACACTTACAGTGCACACTATTACAGTGGACACCATTACAGTACATACCATTACAGTGGACACTATTAAAGTACACACTATTACATTAAATACCATTACAGTGGACACCATTACAACGGACACTATTAAAGTAGATACATTTACAGTGGATACTATTACAGTACACACCATTAAGGTTGACAATATAGTAGACATCATTACAGTGCACGCTTAGACAAGACACACCATTTTAGAGGCCACTATTACAGTACAACACTACAGTGGACACCATTCCAATACAGATTATTTCAGTGAACACCATTATACTACACACCAACACAGTTAACACCATTACAGTGCACACTATGACAAGACACCATTTTAGTGGCTAATATTACAGTACACACCATTACAGTAGAAATCATTTCAGTGAACACCATTACACCACACAAAAATACAGTTCACACGTTATCAGTGGATATTAAAGTGGACAACATCACAGTAGACACCATTTCAGTGGCCACTATTACAGTACACACGTTTACAGTGGACACCATTATAGTAGACATCATTATAGTTGACAACATCAAAGTAAACACCACTACAGTGCACACTATGACCAGAGACACCATTTATATGGCCACTATAACAGTACACACCATTACAGTACAAACGTTTACAGTGCACAGTATGACAAGAGATACCATTTCAGTGACCACTATTACAATACACACCATAACAGTGGACACCATTACAGTACACGCCATTACAGAGGACACCATTGCAGTACACACCATTACAGTGCACACTATGACCAGAGACACCATGTATGTTGCCACTATTACAGTGGACACCATTACAGTGCACACTATGACAAGAGACACCATTTCAGTGGCCACTTTTTCAATAAACACCATTACAGTGGACACTATTACAGTACACACCATTACAGTGGACACCATAACAGTACACACCATTACAGTGGACACCATTAGAATGGACATCATTATAGTGGACATCACAGTTGACACCATTACAGTGTACACTATGACCAGAGACACCATTTATGTGGCCACTATTACAGTACACACCATTACAGTACACACTATTTCAGTACACACCATTACAATACACACCATTGCAGTAGACACCATTACATTACACACAATTATAGTGGACACCATTAAAATGGACACTTAAAGTACACACCAATACAGTGGACACTATTACAGTAGACACTATTACTGTACACACCATTTTTTATCTCCATTTATTTTCCCCTAGCAGTTACTGTAGTTGGCCTCTGTAGATCAAGAGGACAAGATCTACAAATAGTCCGTCGATTCTTTATAGGATTTTTCTTTCGCCCTTAAAGAAAGATGTAACTCTGAACACTATGACAGATATGTGTATGTTAGACATCAATAGATCTGGTAGAAAGTTTCATAGATCGACTAGGGCTAGGATGAAAAATTTTGTCCTGCATTTTTTTATACGACCGCAAAAAAATTTTGCGATTGTATATTGGTATGAGGTTGGCGTCGTCGTCGTCGTCGTCCGAAGACACATTGGTTTTCGCACTCTAACTTTAGTTTAAGTGAATGGATCTCTATGAAATTTTACCATAAGGTTCAATACCACAAAAGGAAGGTTGGGATTTGGGGGTTATGGTACCAACAGTTAAGGAATTAGGGGCCAAAAATAAGCATTTTTGTAACTTCCAGACATAACTTGTGTGTTAGTGTATGGATCTCTCTGACATTGTACCACAAGGTTCCATATCACAAAGGGAATGCTGGGATTGATTTTGGGGGTAATTGCCTCAAAATTTTAGGAATTAGGGGCCACAAAAAGGGGAAAAAAACAAGCATTTTTATATGGACAAATACTTTAGTACAAATCATAATTTAAAGCAGTGTTAGGGAGATAAATCAAATACATCATTTGAATTACCTCCCTTACACTGCTTTTAAATTATGTATAAAGTAATGGTTAATGAGCAATTAAGACAATTTAAAACAGTGTAAGGGAGGTAATCTACATACAACGTTTTGAATACTTCCCTTACACTGCTTTTAAATTATGTTTGAAGAAATGCATATTTATAGAGGAAGACCAGTAAAAATATTTTCAAATGTTGCATCTTTTTTTTTTTACAAAAAAATCCATATGAAAGATTTGACACCATATTTTAAAT